ACTACATTGTCCTGGACTGGAGAAGTTTCAAATTGCCAAGAGTGAGTCGCTCGTCACTCAATGCTGAGAGCCAGGCCTGCTCGGCCGCCATGGACGCCCTGGAGTACCTGTTGATCTTCTGGGAGGGCTGCGCCCGACACGACTTCCAACTTCGACAGGTGGACGAGTTTTCACTGACTATGCCCTCGTCACTGGTGGTCGACGCCAAGGCGCTCTACGACTCGCTCAAGGCTGAAACTCCCAGCCTACAAGGCGACAAAAGAACAAAGATTGAAGTCATGGTGACCAAGCAGAAGATGCTGGCAATGAAGTCCCGGCTGAAATGGGTCTCATCTGAAGCTCAAATGGCCGATGGAGTCACCAAGTATGCCGCCAGACAGCTCTTTGCCGATCGTCTTCGTTCTCATCACCTTTCACTACAAGCTGATGTCTCTTTTCAGGCATCCAAGAAGAAGACCCTGGCAGAGCGACAGGCAAGCGCAAGACGCCATGCAATCACTCGGACTGGCAACCCCAACCACTTGGCCTTTGCCGTCCTCACCTCGCAGATGATTGGAGTCAAGGCCATGACGGTGGATGAGGTCATAGCAACCATGCTGTCACCCGAGATAACCGTGACCCTGTATGTCATTGTGATTGGCATGCTGGTATGGCGCTTCCTTTGTGGCAACAAGGGAACTTCATCATGGAGCTCCACGGTTACAAGAACAACCTGGACTATGACTTCAACGAGCTCTACAGCGGCCGAGACACAGACCGAGAAGGAGCCTGAAACCTCCTTTGGTGTTCTCCGCACCGAGAACCTGCGGCTGCAAGACATCGTGAGAGACCAAGAAGCTGAACTATTTGACCTACAAGCTCAATGCAGAGCACAAGAAGAAGAGATTGAACAGCTCATCGACATCCGAGAGTACATGAGGATTGAGATGCGCGAGATCGACACCGAGTACAAGAAGGCCCGCGACAACTGGATCGATGCGCACAACCGCTTAGCTGCGGTACGTGATCAGCTCTCCAGAAGTTGGGTTCCAGATGCGGTCATCACCACACGCACTGGAAAGTCCTACCACACCTATGCAGACTGTCAAGCTTTGGCCTCCTCTGATGCCACCCAGCTGAGACAGTGGAACTGCTGCGCCTTTTGCAGCCAGAAGCATTTGGAGTTTTGGAGGTCGTACTAAAGACCACCACCGGTGTGAATTGTACGCCGTACAACTTGAGTTTGAGCAGCTTTTGACCGCCGGTCGCTGCCACTTGGCTCTCCTGCACCCTGCAGGGGCCCCTTGAGACCTCACACGTGCTACGCACATGCTAGAAAAGAGACGCAGTCACTTTTTCACTTTCCATCTCGACACTTCGTGCGGTCGCGATACAACACGAGTTTCCACTTCCGTGTTTTCATACTTTCACTTTCCATTGTGAGGATAGTGGAAATTTGAACATAGCAGGTTGAAGGCATTGTTGCAGGTTTAAGGTTGGTGGGTGGGGGTGAAGTTTCCGATACTTGAAGAGTTGCATTCACAACGAAGTGTGCCGCCACAGTCGGTGTTGGTTGGGCTTGGGAGGACTAGTGGTGTGCAGGTGTGACAAGCCAGGTGCTTGAAACATCTTGAAACAGCATTGCAAGTTCTTTCTCAATGGACCTATCTATTTTTCTATTTTTCATTATGTTTCTATCCAATCCAATCTAACCAATCTAATCTAATTGTTTTATCTTATCTGTCGCTATATCTATCTCTCTATCTATATCTATCTATCTCTCTCTCTCTATATATATATATATTTGTCTATGGTCTATCTGGACTTACTTTTTACCAGTTGGGTCTCTTCTGGCAAGTATTTTAGCTTCCGAAATCATTCCCAGAAGTTTCGCCATTACCACATGCAGGGGAATTTGGAAGTGGGTGCCATGAATTCCAAGTGATTTGAGGAGGTGCAGGATCCTCCGCAAGTTCTAGGCAGCATTTGTACATATCACAGTTGCACCTTCTTTGACCTGAGGTGTGTTCTCGGCAATATGGATGAGCCCTATCATAGTCATTGCAGTGACCTGTGCATGGGTACCTTTTGAAGTAGTATCGCATCTCACACCGGAAAACAGCATGCTCCCCGGCAGAGGATATGCTGCAGTACTATTGTGCTATGCAAATATCATACAACATCATATGTATATACACACATACAGAGATTCGCTGCAAGCTTGGTAGACAACTTTGGGAAGAAGCTAAGCTAAGAAGCTATCTTATTTGCTTGATGTCTCTTCGTTACTCTCGCACTTCCAGGTATTCAGAGCACTTCTCTAAACCTGGAATTATATACTGTACTTCAGTGTGCACCCACGCAGGTATTCTGCGTACTGAGTGGGCTATCCCTCCAACCCAATGACAGTGTTAAATCATTGTCTTAGCAGACGGCCCTTGTCATTGGCCTCACTGTCGCTGGGTTGGGTGATGACGTGTATACAGTATATATTGAGCCCCTCAACAAGTATTGTACTCGTATTCATCAAATCAACTCTCCCATCTTATTTGTTTGCGCTTGCAACCAACTGAACTTTGTGCTTCACAAAGTGCCCTTTGAGTGGTGTGTACTACGCACTACGGATAGACAAAAGAAGACACACTGATGCACCAGCTGAGAACCTACAAGCAATTTGTCAACGCGCAGCAAAGTCGACCAAACCAAATAGAAAGCAGTACTGTAAAGCAGTCAAGCCGCTTACCGGGCCCAGGCTTGCTTTCTTACCATTCCTGGCAATCGTGGTGCTAGATGCATGCCTTTATTGGAAGCCCTCACGAACGTTACAAAAGAGCAACCCTCCCACGAATGATGCGGGCAGCGTTCTGGACAAGAACCACCAGGAAGCTTTCCGAGTAGCTCCTTTGTTGCAACCATCTCTCATGTGCATGAACCAGAGCCAGGTAGTTAGATGTTGTTTTTTGCCTGTTGATTTCTTCAATATTTCCCATCACAAGCATGTTGTGTTCAATCCTTGCAGGACTCATCCAGGTCGCTCTCAACGCTGGAAACGTATGCTCGCACCTGGGAAGTTGAAGAGAAGGACGATACACTGGTTGTGTGGAAATTTTGAGCCTGACTGATGTAGAGGGGACGTAAGGAATCCCAGCCGAAATCCGTGCACCAAAAGATGCGGTCATCCCGCTCCTGAAGACTTGAAGACTTCAGTTTTTCCTTGGGTCTCTGCAACCCTCAGTTGGACATGCACAAAAGAACTCTTTGTCATTCTACGCTGATTGCAGTGCTTGTTTGGTGTGCCGGTTGCTGGTACTTGAAAGTGTTGCTTGGCTGCTGGGTTCTGTTTTCTCCACTTCACACTATACTCCGCAATCTATTCCTCTTGTCCAAGACAAGTCAGAATGCCTCTTTGTATTGCAGCAGAGCTGCATTTTCGCGGAAAGAGCAGCGTTATGCCGTGTGCTGAGTGGTCAAAACGAGAGATGTGCACCATGCTATGGCATCACACTCAAGGCAAAGAACTTGGGCTGATGCTGGCTGAAATGACTTGCTGGAGGGGTACATTCTTTGTGGCTCTGATTCAAGTCACCATATCAAGGTGCAGCCCAAATCAAGGCAGACATTCACAGAGATTAGACTCAGACTGAAATGTCGAAGTTGACGCTTCATTCTCTGGAAACGTACTGCACTGATTCTTCCAACAGCCGGTTTCCTTTGGCCATCGCTATTAGGTTGGAGGCCATCGCCATTAGGTCGGAGGCCATCGCTTCTAGGTTGGAGGCCATTAATACAATTATATAATTAGGTTGGAGGCCATCGCTATAAGTTATCATAGACGCCTTCTGCTTGCATCAGAAAGCCACACAACGTGCCCGCCATGTTACGCTCTCTTGCGTCACTGCGGGATGGTTTCCGGACTAAGACAGGTGGGTATTACTCCAGCGCAAATCCAATCAACTGAGCATCATATTCTGCAAAAGCGAAGTCCCCTGTCACATGCGGATATCCAATTGGCTGGTACACGATATGGCCAAACATTTTGAAGTCATTTTTTGGCCATGCACTACATGTGTTGCCATCCATGTACTACGTAATTCTCTTGGAGTGCGTAATTCCTTGCACTTTTTGCAAAAGGACGGTAAAGGACATGCAGAATTCTTGGAATCCTGCAAGGTGGTCGCTTTCACCGTCGCCAGCAGCCCTGGGCACCCAAGGTGCTGGTCTCCGTGGGTTTGAGCGGCCAGCTGGCGAGGTTTGGGAGTTTCAGAGCAGGTGTTCTTGGAGGTTTGGGATTTCGGGACTCTCAAATCATGTTGCCTCAAGTCATGTTGCACTCGAAAATATCTGCCAGACTTTGCCTCACCCAGTTGCCTCAGATCTCGTGCGTTACGACTCGTGTCGTATCGTTGACTTGGGTTTCTATTGTTAATAGGTATCTAAGGATTCAAACATGGCAATATGGACCATATGGACCACTCTCATCCAACATCATTCAACCAAGGCTCTGTACTGCTTGGAGTAGTCTTTGCAAACGTGAGCTCAGATGACGATGCTGCTCAGATGCTGAGAATGCTGGAGGTCAATGGATCCATTCTTCACAATGCCAGCGTACCATTCTTGTAGGGGCTAGGTGCTAGACGCGTAGTATCGCTAGTAGGTAGGAGGCCATCGCTAGTAGGTCGGAGGCCATCACTAGTAGAGTAGGTAGGAGGCCATCGCTAGCAGGTAGGAGGCCATCGCTAGTAGGTCGGAGGCCATCACTAGTAGGTAGGAGGCCATCGCTAGTAGGTCGGAGGCCATCGCTAGTAGGTCGGAGGCCATCACTAGTAGGTAGGAGGCCATCGCTAGTAGGTAGGAGGCCATCGCTAGTAGGTTGGAGGCCATCGCTAGTAGGTCGGAGGCCATCGCTAGTAGTAGGAGGCCATCGCTAGTGGGTAGGAGGCCATCGCTAGCAGGTATAGAAGGCCATCGCTAGTAGGTTGGAGGCTATTAGTTTGGTGCTAGACGCTTAGTTTGCACCTGAGGAGAAGATTTGGATTACTCGCCGAGGGCCGTTTAACTTGGCAGCTCAACGTGCCGTGGAGTGGGCACCCCTGGTGCCCTGCTTTGGATCGGGTGTGGTTGCAGCACCTAGGCTTGATGAAAAGAGATTCCATGAGATTACAAGATAATATCATTTTGCAGAAGTTCACATTTGAGAGTGTATGGCCAAGGCATTGCTCTCCAAATATATGCCGAAGCAGGTGAAGCTACCATCAACAGTCTTGTGTGTTCTGCTTTTAAACTGTTTATATAAAGATAACTTTTTCCCAGTTGTTAACTTGGCTGCACCTGCACTGCAAGTCACGTTTGTCTTGTCTGAAGCATTGGCAGTTGCTGGGCTTGCAAGGAAATCCCTTCGACTTCCCATCAGCGTGCACGAGTTGACAGCTTTGCCGTTGTCGACGCTTGTTCCAATGTCTATCCACTTGACATAATGCAGGGGGGTCTTGGGGAAGGTTGTGATGTGCAGCATTCATTGGATTGAGTCAGTGCGCTTCTACCTATTGAACTTAACCACACTTATGAGATGGATATCGCATGACATGGCTTCAACTTTGGGGATCCCTCCAATTAAGTTGAGATCGGACCGTTTGAACCATCTCCACGGGCCCCACAAGTCCCATTTTGCGCTGAGGATCCTGCTCGCTTTTCGTGACTCGTCCAACACAGAACCGTGACCTGTCTCGCCCAGTTTTCAATGCGACGATTGTGATCTGGGACTGACAGGACTGGTTGGTTTCTCAGATCCAAATAGGTCAGTTGGTATCAGTTGGTCTCTATGAATGAATCTAAAGGTATCTAACAAGAAGGCAACTGTTTAAGTGGTAGGCCGGGCCTCAGGTCACACTATGTCACACTTAATCCAAGAAGACCACCAAGACTGGCCAAGACTTGTATCTTTTCTCAAGGCTTTCAGCTCTCCTATGAACGTTGGTGGGCCATTTGGCTGCATCGAGTCCTTTCAGTTGTACACTCAGTTCCAATCTTTGGTCTCGCAAAGCTCTTCACCTGAAAAGGCACCACTTCACGTCTTTGTTCCCAACATCTTTTTCCCTCACCCCATGTGTCCTGAAGGCTCATTCGTTATGCACCTATCCACCAAGCATGCAAAGCAAAGATGGCAGACACAGCGACAGAGTCCTCTCACCTGTGTCGACCTCAACGTGTCAACCTGTGTCGACCTGAACCACCCAAGGCCTCTCGTCAACATTTACAGGAAGTGGGCACCAATGCAATTGCCGTGGCCATGTGTTCAGCGAACAATCAGGAGGTGATCTCATTGGATCGTAGTGGTGAGGCCAAGCCCGACGTTCCGTGGTAGTTCGTTTAGGTTTGTTGCTTCTTTTTTTTGTGGACTGTCAGCCCACCGAGCAAACCCTCAGAAAAGGATTAAAGCTAACGAGCTGGGACCTTACAAGACTGTCAAAATCTGTTTGAAGCTAGGTGCTATGTTGCATAATTAGATAGGCTCTCTTTCGTTTATCAGGACGCCTAACAAGGATCCAAGATCATCTAGGGTAGTTCATCATTTCCGGATTTTGAGGCTCAAGAAATCGAAGAGAACGAGCGCCGAATGCTCGGACTTCTTGACGCAGCGTGCTGCCTTGCTGAGCAAGCTTTGTCCATTGGACGTCCTCCACATCCTGCCAACAGTGTGGAAAAATGGGAGCCGTTTGATACACATTTGCACCCGGATGATGCTAAGCAAATCCGACAATCTGGACATCCTGTACATTGCTGCTTTGATGCCATTTTCACCACCATTCACAGGGGGGCAGATGCTCAATGTTTATTCCGCCGAGCTGGCAAGTGGGATGTATCAGCTGGCGTCCAATATGTTTGCAGGCTACAAATTTTGCGAAATGATACTAACTCAACCAAATCCTGCTCCTTTTGCAGCACCTCGACAGGCATTACTAGTGTTCCAAGATGCAGCAGTCATGCAAACTGAGCTTTTATGCCAATTCTAAGGTTCACATGCGCACTATTTTGATGGTCTTCTGCATCAGCTTTCCCTTTACAATTATTGGACGTGTGAGCCCATTGAGTTTGATGCTGATGCAGTCTGCGTTGAGCTTTAGCTTCCTAGTGAGCAATTTGTTAAACATGCTGCATGCTCCTTCTATTCGGCAATGGTGCAGGTCACTGGTGCAAGGAAATCTGACCCGCGACAGCCGAGACGTTCTATATATTGTAACTCTAACCTTGTCCTGACAGTTTAAGATGTCAAACTCCCGATAGAACTCGTGATCGAGTGGTGTGACATAGGTTCAAACATGTTCTAGATTTCTAAACTATTTGTACCTCTGTGAATATAGACATGGGCGATTGATGGCTATTGTACTCTGACACTTCTCCATGGTTTCTGAATATATATATATATAACTATATTATATAAACCGATTCCGCAACTCATTCCTAACCGGCATGTATCTATATGCTGTACTTCACCACTAAGGCTTGCTGGGGATTGAGTTCGTGAGCCGTCAGATGGAGCACCCCTTTGGCAGTGACGAGTCTGACATTCCCTTGAGACACTTGTGATCATTTGTGACGTGTGCGCGTCGGAAGGGGTCGGGTGGTCAGATGTTCTGGCGGGGACCCGCTGGGTGTTCGTTGTCATTGTTTCCTCTCGGTCTTGGCGCGGGTTATATAAGTGCTTTTGGATGTGTTTTGTTTTCGCTGGTCCTCGGTCCTGAGGAAAGGTGCTGGGACTAACGCGCGATTCTATCCACCTCATTTGCCAAAAGCACCAGATTGCAGAAGATGATGGCAGCAGTGAAAAAAGACTGACACAAGATCTTGCTTGGAACGTATTCCCCATGGGTCTTACCCACCAGATTGTCGTGACGCTTGTAATGTATGGTAATGTTGGGTGGTGTGCATGGCAACGTTTGAAGCAGAGTCAAGTGTAAAACGATGGTGCCATTGGAGCACAACAATAGTTTTTTGTAGTTTTCGGATCCCTCCATAAGTGACCAAGGTGACCAAGCTACAGTAGCCATTAGGTTTGTGTGATACGATTGTCTAGCAGTCTAACCAGGGTGGGTGCTTCTGTGGTTTGAGGGATCGACAAGATCCTTGGAAGTGTATGCGCAAGTTTTACGGCAAAGCACAATCCAGCATGCGGACTCGGCTCAGACCGGAGGGTGCGGACTCTCAGTCCCAGTTTGCACCCAGTACGAACATCCGATCTCATTGCCTCCGGATCCCTAGAGAATCCACATGGGTTTTCAGCCTTAGTTGTAGATGGTTTTTGACCACTACTTCTTTCCGGTTTCTCCATGCAAGACATAGAGCCAGACCCAGGAGTTGCACAACATGTCAACATGGCAAGACCAAGAATCATATGACCGTTGGAATGCGCCAAATGTCTGGTCTTTTTCACAATGCATGTTGTTACCCATGCAGCTCGCATCGAAGCCAAAGAATTACCCAGACGCTTGGCGGACGCATTAACGACTTCTTATCCTGAAACCAAGTTGTGTGTTTATTTCCCCATCTACTAGTAGCAAGGACGCTATTAGGTGGAGGCCATCGCAAGTAGGTTGGAGGCCATCGCTACTAGGAGCAAGAAGCTACTAGTATTGTCCAGGAACATCAATGGCCTTTGATCCTTCCGCCCCAGCAAGCACGAGCGGTTGCACCACCACAGGCCTGCATGTGCAAAGTTTTTGACCGCATAATGCCTACAGTTCGTAATCGTCTTGTTGGATTTTGGATGAATTCAAGACTCTTCTTCTGCACAAAATTTGGTGCAGATGGGCTTTGGAGGAAAGTTTGGTCCACGAGGCGTGTTCGGGTGAGATTGGTCGGAGCAGAATCCCTCAGATTCTAATTCTACTCGCTTTTTGTTACTACTAGTAAGGCACTTGTTCCTACTAGCGTGGCACTTGTTACTACTAATCATTCTAGCCTTCACGATTCACAATCAAGCAGGCAAAGCACGTCCATCTTCCATGGCGTTGGCTGTTGAATAGTGGCTGTTTCTGGAGCTTGGCAAAGGTCTGTTGCTCAGTTGCTTCCTTCTGCGACCTGAACGAGTCAATCGGTGGGGTCCCAGATTCCCAGCCAGACATGCATGAGACCACTCGACTTAACCCTAGCAAATATGATTCGGCATTGGAGGCCACTACAATCATACAGTTGCAAAAAGGTGGCACTCTTCTTGACCATGTGTCTCTTCGGAGCCTGCATGTTTGTATATACCTTGCCTGTACATTTGATGTGTGCAGTAAAGCAAGAGTCAGAGTCATGGCTTTGGCTAAAGCTGGCTGTGCAAGTTCTCTGTGGACGAATTCCAAAACCGGGATGTGAAACAAATCAAACACATGTAAACACACAACTGATTCAGAGAGAGGCGATCCGGCGTCTTAGGTACCGCAGGTGGCAGGTGCCGCGACACCAAGCTTTATTTGTAGGCGAGGCCGTGTAATCCAAACGGTGTATTTCCGTGTGAACCCGCAGCAGAACAAACTGCGACACGCCGATGCAGACGGTTTGGTAAGTTCAATCGGTTTATAGAGTTCAAGCGATGAACTTCTCCGTGCTTTCGCTTCTTAGATCCCGACCTGTGCAGGTGGTGTTCCGCCGGAGATGGCTTCGCAGGAGATAGAAGAGCACATGGGAAAGCAACTGGTCGCAATGGAGCGCTCTTGTTGGTCAAACGTGCAAATAGCTGTCAATCCAGCAGTAACAGAGAACTGTTTCTCCTGAGAATTCAAGAAGCATCTTGTCAATTGGGTCAATGATGGACCGGATGTAAAAGCGCCAGTCGATACTAGTATCGACCTAGTAGCTAGGGGCTAGGAGCGTTTTCCCTTAATTGAGTACGCACCTAGGGTTTAAAAGGAAAGCTAAAAAAACTGTCCAGTAGTACACTGGCCTTCCTTCTTTTCAAACCCCGGCCTCCATGGCTGCGTTGGACACCTTTGATCATTGGTGAGACCAAATGTATCTCAACTGAGGTACGGCGAGGCGAGAGTTGTCAAGCGATGCAGAGGCTATGTCTATGTGCGCTTAGAAGATCCGGAGGTCAGGTGGCATGCGACTGCTGGTAGTTCTACTGGGTTGTTTCTAATTGAAGTAAAAACCAATGAACATCATGTAAGGAGAGCACATGCCATATGCCACCTATGCGGCTTGAGCAGGCCGCTGCTGCTGCTGTCAATGATGTGCATGTCGTATCTGGAGCAGAACTTCGAGTAGAGAAGGCTACTGCAACGAAGAAGCAGCTGAGAGCAAACTGTTCAAGCCATTTTTGTTTGAACATTATTCTCTTTGTACTCAAGCTGAACTTATGCACCGTATCTCCGTTGAAATCAGTTTTGTGTAAGATATATTTATTGAAGGGGCAATGGCATTTTTTCAGATCTTTGTCTGTCCTGGCTAGTTGGTAGACTGGTCAGGCAATGGTACTGCAAAGTCGATCCTGAGTACCCACCGCGTGTGCGACTTCTGATGGATGGGGTGGTACACATTGAGAACATGCTTCAAAGCTGCACGGTTGGAGTACGTAGGCAAATCAAAAGACCTACTAGTACTTGAGGAAGACGGTGAGACATGTTGTGGTGGCTCTTCTGTATATGCTGGATGGTCAACACATGTCAACATGTCTGATGCTTGGGGTGAATTGAGGATGGACAGGCTCACTCACCGCTCACTCACCGAGCCATGGTTATTCACCATGTCTACTGTCGAGCAAAATTGTGTGGTTCTGCCATCCACCAAGCTTTTCAGAACGGGCAACAGGCAACCATTGTGTAGTCTTGCCTGTTTTTTCCTGCAAGAAGACAGATTGCCAGACACAGAATACTTTGAGGAAGCGCCGTGGGAATGCCACAGGAACGCGTTCAGTTTCTTGTGGAACACGTTCTGCTAGCTTTGTGACTTTAAGACGAGGCTGTCGATGGAACTGCAGATGAACCTTGTGCAGCAAGTCATGTCACTGGGTGGTGGCAGCGCTGGCTTTTACACCCCACGGTTTGAGGGGCGCGAGATGAAGCTGCAAACCTTTTGCCTTGGACGTCACTGGGCATCTCGGTTGACATCACACGGTTCCGCACCCAAGGCTACCAGGCACGATGATAAGCAGACAATCTTAGATCATCTTAGAGCTATTCCTGGAAAGCAACCGTCCTTTTTGGTTTAAGTCTAAGTCATTGAAGCGATCGACAGTTTGATTCTGTTGGAGTCGTGTCGTCGCTGTAGTTACATACTGTCGTGGCACTCTGTTTTGCAAGATTTGCTGGGTGTGTCGTATGACATACTGTGACTCCTTAAGGACACCCGAAGTCATGAGTACTGTGATGCTCGACTGGACCATGACAACTTGCCCGTGTTGGCCTTGCCATCAAACCTCTCGGAGCTGGCTCAGGGAATATTGTCGGACTTGGATCAGAAGTGTGGTGAAGTAATCTTTCCCAAGATGGAGCCAGATACCTGCATAGTGAATCATTATTCTGCATCTGGTTCCCTCGGTCTCCATCAAGACTCAGACGAAAGCGAGCCTTGTACCTTGTACTTCAGAATTTCTCAAGGGAGGCGTCATTTTCATAAGTGACTTTTGCAGCCAATTTTGCAGTACACCAAGTCTAATCATTTCAGGAGGCAAGCATTTCAGCTGGTATTCCGGTTCTGTCCATGTCCTTTGGCTGCTCTGCCCGCTTCTTGTTCGGCGACGATGGCAACTCTCTTCGCAGTACAATGCTCCGCTCGGGTGATGTTTTCATTTTTGGGAACTCGGCCCGTTTGCTGCAGCATGGCATTGCCAAAGTCTTTCCCAGGACCCTTGGACCTACTTGGCAAAGGACCCAAGTGTTTTCTGATTCCAAGGCTCAGCTCCTCTTTGGGCGGCTACGTTTTCAATCGTTTTCATATCTAAAATCCTAAAAAGGTCCAAAACAAATTGGAAAGCACTGGTGTTTAAGGATCTCAATCCGAGTTGAAGCCCAGGACTGTGCCCAAGCGGCTCAAGGAGATCCTCAAGGGACGGCTGAACCTGACTTTACGACAAACCGAAGTAGACTGAAAGAGAATGTTCAGATCTGTGCATTTGAAAGTCGGACAGAGGATTGGCTACATCCAAAAGCAAATTTCTGATTGCATTCTCTGACTGGAATCTGATGATGGCCTGGTATCCGGTGACTGATGTCAGAGCCGAAGACCCCGTGCTGACTTGCTCACTGCCTCAATGCGCTGTCCGAACAGAGTACCCTGTAGACAAGGTGATCACGTCGAAGCAGCTGAAGGCGTTCTTTTGACCATGTCGAAAATGGCAGGTCGCTCATGATGGATTGTGGCGCCTCCAATGCTGGTGGAAAACGAGTGCAGAGACTCTTTCTTATGGGCTGAAGAGGCTGAAGATAAGAGTTGGCAGTAAAGCTTTTGAACATAATGGTTTTCACCTTCGCAGTACTTAGATCTTTGGTGCGAAGAAATCAAGCAAAGATGGAAGAGATGAATTCAATAATTCTCAAAGCGCAGTGGAACGTAGAACCTGTTGGAAACGACAGACCTTTGGCATGGTATCCATCCTTTAGAAACCAGTAGTGTCAGATTTTGAACCATCGCTACAAGCAAGAAAAGAGACACTTTCCGATGCAGCGACGTTGCATAGGACGAAGCAGGATCCAAGTGTTTAGGATCCAAGAATTGTTCAAGACAAGCGCCATATTATGCATTGCCATAGATGGCTGTTGGACCCTGCAAACAAGCTTGCAAACCTCCTGGCAGCTATGGCCACCTGACTCGGGTTCTTTGCAAATGGTGGGGCACTTGGAAAGCTCAAAGACTCGAAGACTTGACCTCTTGGTGCTTCGCTGTTGTGATAAATCATTAATAAATCGTTACCCACGAATGTGTTTCTAGGAGCGTTCTTGCTCCTAGTAGTAAGGCCAGGAGCCCCTAGTAGCGTCCTTGCTCCTAGTAGCGATGCCCTTTGTTTCTAGTAGCTTCTTGCTCCTAGTATGTCATTAATTAATATTAATTGCTGTGAAAGCTTGTGGGAGCTTGAATCAAAGACCAGCTGTTGCTTGAAAGGCACCTGAATGAGCTTGAGCAACGAGGAGAGGACACGTAGCTTACAGGAGAGGACACGAACCAACAGCTTTTTGTTACTCAGGCCGGCGAGGCGGAGGAGGAGAGAGAGTGCGGCTTCGCACGAGCGATCACAGGTAGAATGAAGCAAAGTGAGTGAAACAAGTGCCTTACTAGTAGTAACAAGAAGCTATTAGCTTATTGTTTCTACTAGCTTTTTGTTACTACTAGTAAGGCACCGGTTACTACTAGCGTGGCACTTGTTACTAGTAGTAACAGTATATAACTACTTAATTCATGGAGAGACTCATATGTGTCTAGAGCGGACGATCGATGTCATAGATGTCAGAATGCGAGCTGTTCACACGTGATTTGAGACACAGGTCGCCACTCAAGTCTGGGGTCGCAGGGGCCCTGTTGTGGCTCAAGACATGGAACCTGTATGTGCAATGGAAGAGAGGTGGCTTCAATCTTTCTTGTCGTCTTGCGAGCTGCTCCACTATGAGGTTGGATGTAGAATTGTCATGAACTGGGAACAATTGAGTTGCGCTTTTTTTCCCTGGAACACAGCGCTACATATTAGGAGGAACTGTTGTCATGGCTGCGAAAGCTTTTGCTCATGTGTTTCATCATGCGCGAAGGCTCGCGCAGCCATTTCGCGTAGAATCTACAGTGTTTTGTTACTTGTTGCGAAGGTATTTTGCAAACGCTGTGTTTTTCATGACTGTGCTATGTAGAATGTAGCTAACACAAAACCTCGCGAAGCCTTTCGCGAAAGCACCACCTGGGGAGAGAGATTGGCGAAAGCTTCGCGGGGGTATGGGTACCTAGTGGCTGTCCCCGATACCACACAAAAAAGAATCAAATAAAGCACGACTCAATTGGAAGCAGTCTTGACTTCAATTGATACTGTGATGACTGGGTCCTGATGTTCAGTGTGCTGTGGAGATAGGCATACCCTGGGGAGTGGGCTTTTGCCTATCATTGTCCTATCCCCTTCGGTTGTATCGCCCTGACGGGGTGCAGGAAAGAGCATGCCAGTGGTGCAAAGAAGTGGGTGCAGTGCAGCTGTGTGAAGTGATGGAGAATTGGCAAGATCTGGCCGAGCACTTACGGCTCAAACCAGCAGAGAGGAGGAGGTTGGCAGAGGTGGGGGGGTCTATATAAATCTGCAGAGGAGTCAAAGTGAGTCTAACAAGGAGTTGAGCATGGCCACTGTTTATTTGGTCTATATAGATTCTGCGAAATTTCCGAATACATGTGAATGCGCCAATTCGCCTATGCATCAGGTGTATCTGTCTAAAGTGCAGCAGTCAATATGACTCAACTGCAAACTGCGATCCTCAGGTTTCAGGTGACCAAGAAGATTCTGCGAGTAGCTGGTTGCTTCCATGGTTGGAGTCATTGCAGTTAGCACACTACGCGCCAGAAGCGAAAGCTTGGTGTGCGCAACTTGGCTCGAATTCAAATGACCAGATTTCCGAGCTCACCCAGGTCATGTCAAGCTTGTTCGATGTTTGTTAGCCAGGACCCTGATGTGGACAGAGAAGCAACTAGTACTGGTATACCTTCCAGTGAGGTAGCTGTAGGAATGCTCTTGGTCTCACACACCAGTGGGCCGCCATCCACTAGATGGATGAAAGGACCATGGGCGCCGTTGACTGCTCCGACCTGAAAGATGCCTGGGAAGTCTTCGCAGCCGATCTTCGGCAACTTTGTAGCACAACCTGAGTTGCAAAGACTTGCAGAAAGTGCTGATGTAATGTTGCAATGTAGCAAACAGAAAGGAAGCGTTGGCAGTTTCAAACGCAAGGAAGTGTCGGCACGGGGATGAAGGGGTACTGATTTAGTGCAGCAGCGTGGTGCGATGCGATGTTTGTGTGTATGTGTCACAATATGTCTACACTTGCAGGTAAAATGTTACTCTTGTATCACTTTGTACCAGCATTTTGTTTGAACATTACCAACGCAAAGGCAGCCTCAACTATCACAAGCCTTGCCAACAGCATCTAGAATCTACAACAATCCCCCTTGTTCAAACTCAAGGTGACTTCCATGCTGAAATTCTTGGCTCCCTGCCCTGCACATCACCGATGCTGGTTCATATTGCCCCAAAGACTTTTGGGTCAAATCCGAAGTGGTAGTTTAAATTTGCAGTATTATAAGCTATACTATAATATATATTATACTGCTATATTGTATAAAACTATCTGTGTGGGGTGTTTGCAAAGGATACTATGAGGTATTTGAGGCAGATGTTTGAAGACAGTATATATATATATATGAAAGTATAACAAGAACCACACTGGAACACCTGAAGGAATCTCATGCTGAGGATGGATGCTTTGGAAATCCATCGTCTTTCCCGCGCGTGTGCCGGCTGTGTGCCAGGCAGGGTGCGCGGGTCAAGCTCAAGGTACATATATCATATATATATAGGTACATCCTGTGAGGACCTGGCAAAGTTGTTATTAGTTATAGGCAGTCTAGGGTCTATTTCGTGGAGACATGGGGTGTTCTTTGCAATCTTCCACTTGAAGCACAGGACCAACCTTTTCTCCCTTTCAAACGCGTAGTGAAGCGTTCTCGTTAAACTCTGGGGGTCTGGGGGTAGAACTGTAGTCGCGTGATGTTGCTTTGGTGTGCACAACTGTTGCCAACCGTCGCCACCGGTTATGGCCTTCCTGTTAAGACCGAGCACTTCGCAACCAATCATAATCCCCCACCGGATTACGGATTAGGGATCTTCGCGGATTAGTGGGTTTGAGGGGATTGCGGATTTTTTCCCCACCTGGCAGGTGAGGGTTGTTAGATTTTATGTCAGCTGCCGTCCTCCTCCTCCTCGTCCTCCGACTGCCAGATAGAAGGCCAGCATGAATGTCAGAAGAGATGCCAGAAAGAATGTCAGAAGATATGCCGGACATATTGTCAGACAGGATGTCAGAAATATAGTCCGGGTTGCATGAGGCAGCCGTGGCAGGTAGCATGCAGCGCGGTAGCATGATGAATTATTGTCCGGGTTGCAGATTGTAGCGGATTATGGTTTTCAGAACAGCTTTGGGGTTGGCGTTCTCAGCAAATGTCACCGTTGGGATTTGTGTTCACGGGTTTGCCTCGAAGCAATGTTTTCACTCAAGCCTCAACTAAAATTGCGACTTTGAGGTCAAACAAAGTGTTGAAGAAGCGTGCGCGGCGCACCTTTTGCTAGACATGTGAAGGTGTGGCGCATTCACTTTAAAATGTAGGCATCATTAAAAATTTTAAGCGGAGGTACCTATGCGTTCCATATTTTGTTGGATATGATTGAATAATTGAGTTGCGTGAACATGTGACATGATGGTTGACAAACATCATGAAATCAGATTGAACAATTGAACAACAGAATGCCTGATCAATTTTGATTCATGTCCGGGCACGTTTTCCAATGCACGTTCCGAAGCCGTGGCCACAGGGGACCAGTTGTTGCGAAGCAGGCTGCGTGCAACGTCTAAAATACTTGCCAAGTAAAGTTGCATGATTTCACCCACTTCTGTATAACTGAATCCGTTTCTTGCACATTCCAGGAGCGTCGTTGCACAAGAGTGCACACAAGAGTGTCCTGCGAGAGTAACGTGTAAGCGTGTTAAGCAAGGGTCTCCCCCATGCAGTTTCCTACAGCAGCTTCACTCAGGTCGAGATGCATTTTTTTGTGCATTCGGGTTCGCAGGCTTCAGTTGTCTTCTTAAAGATGTCATGAAGTGCGCTATGCCGCTATGTTTTGTGGCACACCGGCATGCATAGATGAGGGGACAACAACATATTGTTTGCGCAGGTGTGCGCAACTCTCATAGCCTGCCCGAGGACTGTTTTTTTGATGTCCCAATGTTAAGTTTTGGTTGGTGTTGCGTACGCAGCTGTTTTTTCTGCTCTTGGCAGGAGAGCCGCCCCGCTATCACAGTTCAAGAACGCATTGCTGCACTGGAACACAGGGAAAAGATGAAAAAGGTCGTTGCCAATGCAGCGTTTGCTTGATGGTAGTTGTCCTGAATCCAATATCAACTCTTGCCATCACTCGTGCGGGTTCATCAACCGACATGAGGCAAACCAGAGATAGACCAGCATTTTGATTGCGAGCAGAGCGAAGGGGGTACATGCCGGTGAAATCAAAGCTGAGCCATCTCACATTCCCCAAAATGCCTCCAAGACATCCGTTTCATTGTGATTTGTGTCTGAATGGCCGGTTAGTGCCCAGGTTTCAGACACACAATTATTGGAGTAATTTCAACTGTTGCCACAGAGTGCGCACCTGCTGTTTTGAGAGTGAATACCCTCAAGCGAAACCAAACCAAACAGGGTCCAAGTTTCCTTGTAGAAACGTATGGTTCGATCACAGATCTTTGCGATTCTTAGCACTCGAACACAAATGCGGCTCCCTGGCTCCACACTTCAGCCGTAGCGAACTTTGTTGCCGATTGATTTCTACAAACGATCCACACCCCAGTCAGGAGCAGTTGAGGCTGCATGTTGAAGATTCAATGGTTCCAGAAAAGATCTTGGCGGTCCAGGGCTAAGAAACTGAAGTGTTTCACTGCTAACACCTCACCAACATTTGCTCAGAACCTGGAACTGATGCGGTTCATAGCAATGTCCTAAGGTCCTAAGTGTTTGTCTACGACCATTTGACCAACATCAGATGATTGTGTAGCCGCATATCTAAATTGTTTGGTCTAGGATCTTCAAGAATTTGGACAGATGGACACGTGTAACAATGGAGAGTGGTTTCACTGATATTATATGCATTGATACATACACTCCCTTGCTGGCATTCTAACAAGCTATGGCAAGGCTCATGGCTATCGAAGCCTGCGATTCCTTGGTCGGGGTCAGTATGGTACTGCGTGCGGGGTCTCAGCGAACATAAGTTGTGAGTGTGTGACAAATCAGATTCGAGACAGTTGAGTAGGTATACGGTATATACATGGGCAAGTGCTAAATCATGGCCGGAGTGCATTTCTTTGACAAGCCTAATAATAATGCTTTCAGTTCGGGTACGCAAGACCTGCCGACGCCACTCGGTGGAGTCTCACATCTGAGAGTTCCGCATAAAGCAGAGTTGTCCAAAAGCAACCACCTAACAGCGTCTTTGTTCCTAGCTTAGAAATCAGGGTCCTTTGCAAGGAACAGGTGAGGTGAAAAGATTGGCCAGTGTAAAGAGACATGACAGTCCGCATCAACTATTTTGCTCTGCTCGTGTCCCTGCATTGGACTGTTTGGTGGTGAATCATTCTTTGTATTTAATAAAACACAAAATACGGGTTTCTTTTTGGTTTTAGATAGCGCCACATAGCGCCACATAGTGCCATAGCGCCACAGCAACTTTCAAAACACATGAAAAGATGCGGGTTTCTTTGGTTTCAGATAGCGCCAGTCAAAAAGAGGTCACCATCATTCCCTGTTCCTTCTTTTCTCCTCTTGAGGATTTGTACAGAGCTCTTTGTCCAAGCATGAATGCTGTGCCACAGACTCCCATGTGGTGGCCAGGCATTTAGCAGAATCGGGTGATACACCTGGACGTGACCAGGCTGGAGTTTTGCACTTTCGACTGCATGTGCAGAACATATATATATATATTATATATACATTATATGTTGTTGAGATGAAGGCTTGTCGGCTTGTCCATTGGATTTGTGTGGTTACGATTCTCGTAAACAAAAGCCGTCAGCCATTGCTTCACACTTTAGTCACTTTAGTCAACGTGTCAGGTCGTTGCCAAAGTGGTTTTCCTTGACCATCTCAAGGACAGACCACAATCGCACGGAATTCACAGGATGGCGTCCCTTTGCGCACTTTTGCCGGCTCTTTGGCTCTCCAATCATGAGTTCAGGTGATGGAAGTAGTAGCTTCTTGTTACTAGTATAGCGTGCTCGCTACTAGTAAAGGCCTTCAACTTACTAGCGATGGCCTCCAACCTAGTAGCTTCTTGTTGCCGCCTATAGAGAGTCTTGCTGTCACTTTGATTTGAACATATTTTCGTGTAATTATTCTTATGATTCTTGCAAGGACAAAGATCGTGCTCTGGCTCTCCAAGAAGTTGAAGTCTTGAAGAGGACCAGCGCTCAGACAATGCTGTTGCACAGTCGGCTCGTGATGCCATTTCTGCATATTTCTCAAAGAACCAGATCTGGCTTTGAGTTTCACCGATCTTTGTACCAGCATAAGACAAGTTGCGCTTTTTTCAGAGTAGCTCTTGAGGGCATGATGAATGATGACGCACTTCCTACTTGCAGCGGAAGCAATTCCAAAGATTCGGACAGCCAATCTGAGGCTAAAACATCCTAATGTGGCCAGTAGCCTCAGACGCGAAGTGCCGGTTCAGCGGACATAGCCTCATCTAAGCCCAGTGGGTCACCCAACTTCGTAGCCCGACTTCCAGGTCTTCGGCTTGGCCTGTCTTTCTACGTCGCATGCAATGCATTATGTTTCTCCAACCTAGAAGCAATGGCCTCCAACCTACTATGCATATTACATCTCATGTTTCGTCGTGTCATCGTGCAACGCCAACCGTCAGGTCACCCATGTGAATTCCTTCTTGCACTCAGGCAAGCTGCTGTATAGTGGCTTGAAACAATACTGACTGGTCTTAGTGGCGTTCAGCTTCAATAGCTCTGAATCGGAGCAGTTCAGAAGGTTTTGTGGATTGATTTCCGCTCCATGGCTTCGACCCTGAGACAATCCCTACTCTATCCGACCATGGTGAGGTGGTTTCCCTTCAAAGTCCAACAAGTTTGTGCTGCTTGAACCTTGATCGAGCCAAGCGGTTTTGACATCCAGAGAGAAGATTCGTGGTGCCCAGCTGGTGGTGCAGCGAAGAATGGGTGCCAGATTGAAAACCTTCAAGTGCTGCCAACACATGTTTGATGGATGTTCTCAAAAAGGTCCTTGTAATTACAGTAAAAGCATTGCAGGCCACGGCTTTCATGTTTCTGCCAGCTACGATGGAAACCAGAGTCGATCATGAGGCAACATGAGGCCAGTAGGTCGGAGGCCATCGCTTATGGGGCCATTCCTTTTGGGTTGGAGGCTATTCCTATTCGTGAAGCGTGACTCGTTGCCAGCTGGCCACGGCCAAGCCTTGGTCAATGTCATGGAGTATTGTGCAGGCCAGGCCAGCGCTGTCGGGCCAAACCGCAGAGATGATAGGGCTACTATTTCAACATGTTCCAACTGCCTGAAGCTGTTGAATTGCCTGTATTTGGCATTATTTGGGCTCCAACTTGCCACCAAGGCAAGATACTCTCGGGCCTTTGCAGATGCATGACAGACCTTTTAGTGTCGAAACATACGCTTCGCACTTCGAACGTCAACTCTTGTGAGCGGCCAACTGTCATTGGAACATGTACAAGGAAGCTTTCTTGGGTATCGTTTCACCTATAGTAACAAGAAGCTTTTTAGTATGTCTTTGAAGCTCCTTAGCAAGTAACATGTACTGTAGAAAGATGACATCACATTTAGTGCGTTGTCGAGGTACATGTGACAGGGGACAGGACTCAGCGTCACCCGCCCAAGGGGGAGACCTTCGCATTTGGTTAGACAGCTTGGCACAGGCATCTGAGCAGGGGGGGCTCAGTTGTAGAACCATCCACAGCATGCATTTGCCTTGAAGACCCAGTCAGGTTGTTGAGACCCTCATAGAAGATGATTCGATCAGTTACTTCAGTGAGTGTTGACGGAGTACCAAAAAGGCCAGGAAGCAGCCTGCCACACCTGGGTATGTGAATCAGTTCAGTGCCAGTTCCGATCCACTGTGGGTCATTCCCTTGAGAGCACCACTGACCAGCGATGCCATTCTTACATCCTTTCAATAACACTGAATCCTGCGAGTGTTTTTTTTTTTTGTATTGTATTCTGAATGCCCCCTCTATGCACCTCTCGAAGAATCTGAAAAACACGGCGCATGCCACGATCTCTTTGATTCTGAGGCGGCTGCCAGAAGACTCGGTCTTGCACCTCTTCTCCCAAATGCTGAAAGGAGTCGAGTATGTCGCTTGAACTCGAATGGAGATGACCAACTGTTCCAACAAATGATGCATGGTGTTGGGGTACCGCAAGCAGCTGCTGTCGGAGTTGGAAGTGTGTCTACTGTCTATGCGTCTCAGGAATTTGCTCCCATGTATTCTGCCTTCATGACAGTACTCTCGCGAATCGCCTGTGGGGGCATAGTTGGGGGCATATTTTCTTCCGGTTTCATTCCTTTAAGGTGGTATCTGATATATATATATACATACATATATTATTTTATATATTATATATATGTATATTTGCTCGCTCTGTTGCAGCGAAGGTTCACTCCTGCCATATCTTGCACCGAGACCTGAAGACATCCAATATGCAACTTGGCTTCTACACGTTCTGCAGTTGAAATGCACCCTTCTTTAGCACAAACCATGTACTCCAGTTGCTCGGGCTGCGTTTTTTGTCAGCTGTAGCAACTGGCCATGCTTCCAGGCTTCTTGACGTGGACCACCGCATTGTCAAGGCGAAGTGGTGGACGTCTCATATGGAGGCTCTATTGAGGCTCAGAGGTTCTGATCAAAAGCGCTAGTGCTTCTTTTTGCAGTTAGTAACCAGAGGACGCTACTAGGAGCAAAGGGCATCGCTACTAGGAGCAAGGACGCTACTAGGGGCTCCTGGCCTTACTACTGGGAGCATTTAGACCAGTAGGTTGAAGGCCATGGCCTAGGCCATTGCTAGGTTTCTTTCTTTCTCGCTTTTCTCTCTTTCTTTTTCGCCACCTTTTTGTTTCCTGGTCCAGGTGGGCGATTTCGGGATCGCCCGAGTGTTGGAAAGTACCACGGCGGTAGCGGTCACAATGCTTGGCACGCCATACTACATGTCGCCTGAGGCTGGGTGGTGGATGGTGGTGGTGGCACATGAGCTGTGGCTTGCTAGGATGTGGGGACAGAAAAGATGCGAAGAAGATCTTGCGAGTTGTAGCTGATACTCCCTCATCATCAAGGTTTCAAGATGGCTTGGACATCTGGCCCTTTTGCATCCTTTTGCATCCTTTTGCAACTTGCAGTCATTCATATGATTTCGTATGGCACATCCTATACCTCATCATGATATTATGCGGCATTCTGTAATCTTGCCTTTCCGCTTCCGCCTACATCTTCATGTGCAATTCCCATGCCTGCGATCATATAGCCTGTGTCATGCGACTTTCCACCTATCCCTTGACAATCAAAGCCTGGTGTCTGAACCTCTTCTGACGGATGAGCGCCGCATGAAACAACACAATGTAAAGGCCAAGGTCACAAGTAGATGGATGTAGGCGGACACTTGACTTAAACTGCTTTGCGTCCCTGACTCCTGCCAGTATCCATCATATTTCAAGTTTGCTACGCTCACTACGCTTCCACCTTTCTGAAAATTCTTATTCAAGGCATTCTTCTCGTTCTTACTATAAGAGAAACAAGATGAAACAGCAAGATCCTCTGGTCTGAGGCATTTCGGCTCTTTGTTTTCGCACCCCACTTCTTGCCGTTCGCTTCGGTCGCGATCGATCGAACAGTCGCGATGGACGTCCTGGTGGTGGGTGGCGGTGGCCGGGAGCACGCCATCGCGGTGAAGCTCCGAGAGTCCCCGAAGGTCCGCCAGGTCTTCTGTGCACCGGGCAATGGGGGAACCGCCCTGGAGGAGTGCGGAGAATTGAACGAAATGATCATGCAGTCATGAATGAATTATGAACATCATGAGTTAGGATAGTCCATGAATTTTCAGACCAAAGGAGTTTGGGAGTTTGGTGTTGCTTTTTGATGAATTTGGACATTCTAGGAGCGAATGACCAACTTGCCCATTGGTGATAGCGATGTGGCGGCGCTGGTGGCTGCAGCCGAGGAGTGCAAATTCATGGAGTTGGAGCAGTTAGAGCCCAGCGGCTTCTCCTATGTCGGAATCCATCGATTCTCTCGCTCGCTAAGGTTGTAAAGAATCGACATGAACACACACATTCCCACAGCTGCTTATTGGTCTGAAACGATGCCCAGGAGAAGAAGGTTGCCTTGGTTTTTTGTTGGGCCTGAAGCGCCGCTCTGTGCGGGTCTAGCAGATGCCTTGAATGCAAAGGGAGTGCCTTGCTTCGGGCCTAGCAAGCTGGCCGCTGAACTTGAGGTCGAGGGACCGTGACGGACCCGAGAAACATGGACGGACAGGGGCCGGACTGGAAGTCTCTCAGAAGGAACGCAGGAATAATGCAATGGTGCACTAAGATGCACCACACACACATATATATATATTTACATACATTATTGTAAGCATAAGTTGCAACTATCCCTTAAGTTTATAAACAGCATGAAGCAACAGACACTTTGTCTTCGAATGTTTTGGAATGTTAGTAATGATCCTGATAGACAACATCCTCCTTTATTTGCTGTGCATTTGCATTGCCGACCTTTCAGAAGAAGGCAGGTTCAATGCGGACAATTTGTTTTCTTCAGGTTACAAACGGGTCGGTCGATGGATTCAGGCCCTTGTGAATTGCACACCTGCCAAATCGGTTGTGTTGACTAGAGCCTTCAAGCCAAGGACCCTTTTCTTCTCTGCAAACTCATCCCAACACGTAGCCTTGGAGCTCCAGGCATCGAAAGCCTTTAGCAAGGACTTCTTCGCCAAGTACAAGCTTCCAACAGCAAGCTACAGGACATGTGGACGTGTGTGTGAACGCGACCGGACAAATGGGTCGTACCAATTCCAACTCTGGCCAACTCAAAGAAACAGTACGGCGATTGCTACCAAAGCAAAAGGCGGTGCGCGTGCAATCAAGTCAACAGCTCTGGAAATAGCATGGACCTCTCGCGCGAGGACATTCAAAACCGGCGAACACGAAGCCGCACTGAAATATGTCGAGGACCGAGGACCAGGGACCAGCTGAAAGGAGCATTCCTTAGATTGCACTGTGAGCACTCCTTCTCATGATGTGTCACAGGCAGGACATGCAATGTCATTGAATTGTGCAATTCCACATGCTCATATTGCTGGTGCAATTCCACAAAAACTTTGGCCTGAGAGATTCGTGCGAGTTGGGGTGCTTGTCGCAGGAAGAGTACGGAGCAGGGCGGGAGTTGGTTGTTAAGGCCAGTGGACTTGCAGCTGGAAAAGGCGTGCTGATGCCGCAATCGGTGGAGGAGGCTAAGGAGGCTGTGAAGGAGGTCATGGCGACTGGTCCGCATTTGTGGCAAAGAGCGGGACGCTGGTCTAAGTCGACACAGTCTAATTTAGTGTACAGTATTTCTAAAGATGTGCACTGTGCTTGTCGTACGTCTCTGGTTTTCTACAGGAGAGGTCAAACAAAACCAAGACCTGAATAACACTGGTTCACTTACCTGAGGTTAACAAAGTCTTCGGAGCGGCGGGTGATGAGCTTGTTGTGGAGCAACTGCTCGTGGGAGAGGAGCTCCTTGCTCTGCAATGTGAAGGTGGATGTGGCGCATCTTAGAGACTCACTCTTCTTTGGCAGTCCTTAACGGAAGGAAAAAATGATCAAGAATCTAGGAATCCTCTAGGGCTTGAGAAGGGAATAGACGAATAAGACAAAGCTGTAATATATGTGTCCCTCAAAATCTAGGAATCAAATCAGTGCTTTCGTGCTTCTTCAGGGAAGCTGGAGCTTCCTTGAAGAACCGTGAGCTATTCTGCGTCCTAAGTAGTAGGTACTTAAACTATCTTGAACTACTAGCAACCTCTCCCTACTAGCTAGCTAGCCTACCTACCTCAGTTGCGGTGTACCCCCCCCTGTCTGAAGAAAAGAAACACAGAGCAAGACGTGTGAGGTGCAGCTGCATGGCCTTCTCTGATGGTCAAACTGCAGCCATGATGGTCGCTGCACAGGAGGGGAGCGGCGTAAGTTTGTGAATCCCATGACTTGGCGCTGCATTGCCTATAAGGTTCATCCTCTTCTAATATGAGTTGGTGTTCCAAGAAATACATCATCCAAAGCCCAGGACCACAAGCGAGTAGATGACAATGACCAGGGGCCAAACACTGGCGGCATGGGTGCCTATGCCCCGGCTCCATGTCTCACGGATGACCTGAAGCCTTTTGTGAAGGAGGCAGGGTGCCTTGCAGGAAAAAGCACTTCCATTCCACCTTTGATTCCCTTTTTGAGCAGTGTGAGAGCAAGGAATACAAACTGAAAGCTCTCAAGTATACTACACTGGCAGGGTCTTCTGAGATGTCGGGAGTGGTCCGATTCTCCAGGGTCGAGATTGTGCGCTGGTCAACAGATCTTGTGGGAAAAGACCACGCATCTGGATACATGCACTGCAAAGCAGTGATTTCACACATCGTTCGCATCGTTTAGCACTCCCGCTGTCAACTTAAGCTACTAGGAACAAGTGCATCGCTTCTAGTAACAAGTGCCTTACTAGTAGTAACAATGTTTGCTATTAGAAACAATAAGCTAATAGAAATTGCAGTGCCTCACATGCTGTAGAAACTCAACGTGTCCGCTTCAACGCGGGAGGTGCTTCAGCGCACTGTGGAAGCCTTGGCCGCTGAGGGGCGGAAATACGTGGGTGTGCTCTATGGGGGCTTCATGCTCACCAAGGAGTTGATCCAAACGGAAGGAAAACAGACATGCAACGAAAAGCTGAAGACCACAATTAGCTGGGAAATCTACAGCTTATGCACAGTTTCTGTTGAGCGTTTGTTCCTTGCTGGGCAGTCTAGTCCTTTTTGCAGAATGCACTCATACACGCGTCCCAAATATAGTCTTCCCAGCAATTTGAGCACAGGCTTTTGACATGTTTTGGGTTGGGGTATCAGGAAGCTGGCTGACTTATTACCTATGTAATTGCAGATTGTCTTTTTCTTCCAGCAATTTATCCCGTTGTATATTAGTTTTTTGTCGATGCACATGACACACAGACACACACAGACAGATACACACGCATATTGCAGGATGGTCCCATGCTGCTGGAGTACAACTGCCGCTTTGGAGATCCGGAAACGCAGGTCCGCCACACCAGCGATCTCAGGCTTCAGAAACTGAATACAGTTCCCAACATGTACTAGCGAACAGACATGCCTTCATCGGTTCGTATTTGAAGAAACATGAAGAAAACAATGCATGTTGGAACACCTGCTGTTTGCAGAGACGTGCGGTTCTTCGCAATGTTGGATGGAAGTTGCCTCCGCATGATACACGGGCTTTTCATTATAAATAAACCACTGAACCACTAGTTAATATGATTGACCAGGGGCTTTGGTAGAGCCATGTGTCCCTGAGGTCCTGCTGCCATTGCTGGACTCAGACCTCTTTGAGATAGCCCTTGGTTGTGCCGAAGGCAATCTGAAAGCTCGAGTACCGGAGGCCATGGAGTCAAAAGGATGGAGTCAAAAGGGAGAGGTTTATTGACGTCCGCAGTTACATATGACTTGCCAAAGCAATGTGCCAAGTTCGTTTCAGAGAACCATGGAACACCTAGCAAATGTTTTACATACCTGCAACTGTATCATGCTCAATCCATCAAGACATTGGTAAACTGTTGGTCAAAGCTGTTGGTAAACATTGGTATTCTCGTTGTTCTCCTTCTCTGTGTTGATCTTGCTCTTGATGCTGTTGTGATCGTGGTTCTTAGATTGGTTGATATTGAGCCAAGCAGTCCAGAGGCCCAAAGTCCCAAAGTGAGCTAACCGCACGTATGGAGGTGAGATGGAAGCCTGGTGCAGCAGCCACGGTGGTTTGTGCTGCCAAGGGTTATCCGGGCTCCTACCCTAAGGGCTTCTTGGTCTTTCATCAGCAAATCCGCTGTGCTCGCCATGTGGTAAGGCCATGGAGTCACGGAATTCAAGCTTCTGTCGACAATGATCATTAAAGATCAACAGACTCATTGGCCTTACATCCGAGGCCTGCCTATCACTGGTATTCCTGAAGCAGATGCAGTTGAAGGTGTGAAGGTTTATCACGCTGGAACGAAGCAGGACGCATCTGGCTTGGCGAGCACTGGAGGCGGGAAAACGACCATTCTGATGCAATATGGCTAGCACTTCGAGCAGCTGCTCACAAAAATAAAAATGATGCACATGCCATGCCATGCCATGCCACTGAGTTCCGTGGCAGCATTATCAAATTTAAGCAGACCTGTCCTCCTGACAGGATGGACACATCCCAGAGAGTGCAAAACATGTACAATGTACTGTACAACTGTACAACCTTAATCAAACCTATTTTCTGAACAAATGTCTAAGGGCTGACGCCCGACAGCCGACCAGGGGCCCACCACTGGTGGTCGTCGTTGTTGTTGTTGTTGTTGCTGCTGCTGCTGGTGTTGTTGTTGTTGTTGTCGTTGTTGAGGCTACGTTGGCCCATCTTGGGCCTATGTTGCTGTTGTCGTGGTCGTTGTTGGGGCTACGTTGGCCCATCTTGGGCCGATGTTGGGTCATCTTGGGGACCTCTGTTGGATCATCTTCGGGTACATTTTGCGCAATATTTGTTGCAACGCGCCCATCACCCCCAAAAATCTGATTATGCACGTCCGCGCGGTGCGCATTACCGACACCACCCTTGTAAAACCCACAGTTTTTGCATTTCGCCATCACAAAACGCGCGCAAAACCCTGTAAAGCACAGTGTTTTTTGAACATCACACGCAGAATCCACTGTAAAGCACAGGGGCGTAGGCAGCGATGTAGGTCTACCCCCTGGGTCGGCCTGGGGTCGGCGGCAGGGGGTGGACCCGCTCTCTCCTTTGGAGAGGAGAGAACCCTGCAAGATGCCACGGCCAGTGCCGGGCCCGGTGACGGGCCCCTGGCCGGATTTAAAGGCTTACGCCTGGGTTCATGGGCATCGTCAGGAAGGGTTGGGAGCTACAGCAGGAAAGAGCAGAGAGCACACCAGGAGGTGCTTGGTGGGCAGGGCCGAACGTTAGGATTTGCAGCCATGGGTTGACAGAGTGAAGCTGAACCAGTGGTGGCCGGTTCTGTGGCCATGACCAAAGTTTGAACTAGTCAGCAAAGGGCGCATGTGATTTGAAGAACAACTTTAGAGTCCGGTGGATAGCTTTTAGTGGGTTTTAGGCTTGTACTGTAAGTGGTATTTTTGAGCATCCGATGGTCGCTGACTGCTCCCGAAGTCCAGTTTGTAATGCCAGTGGGCTCGAATCCAAGGGGATACCTAGAGATCGGCGAGATGGCTCCTATCGACGTGGAGCCAGATGGAGAGCGTCCGAACAGTGGCCAAGGGGAGGCAGCGCTCTTGGTAGAGGCAGGAGATGCTGCTGCTCAGTCCCAAGGCTCTTGCTGGTGGCACGCCCCGGAGGAGAAAGATCTCTCAGACCAGTAGCAGTGGTGCCAGTGTGGTAGATGACAGCTATGTGGCACCTGCTGTTGCATTTTTGAATGTCAAGGGCTACCTTCTGGAGATTGGTGACGTGAAGAGCGTGGCAGTCGCTGGAAAAGGTGGTCGGCGTGATGTCTTCCAAGCGACCTTCGGAGACCTGACAGCGGTGATAGGCATGGGAGTGTGGTCAGAGGCCTCCAGCAAGTATGGCAACATGCTCCGCGCTGCTTTTGATGGAACCGAGGACTTCGCTATGGTGGAGATCAAGAATGCTGAAGTGGTGGAGATCACGAAGAGTCCGCAGCGGTTGATTCGCTTGCAGTCCGTGGAACTACTTTCAAGGTGTTGGGCAGCAGCAGCCTGGTGATGATTTCTCCACGATCCGATGTCGTTCTTACCGTCTTCGAGTCGCTTGGTCAGCCACATCAATCTGTGGCGTTGAAAGGTGTGATACCACGGTTGTCAGAGGTGAAGGAGACGAAGGCCGGTGCTCCATACAAATTCTTCTTGATGAGCAAGGTGTTGGTGTGCCGGTGACATTTCAGGGGGGAGATTTCGAAGGACACCGAGACAGTGACCGATGGGATGCTGGTGGCAGGGTACTGGTTCCGCTCCTTGCCGGTCCTGCGGCGAGATGACGGCAACGAAACCGGGGGCTCATATTGGATATACCAAGACCAAGATCACTTTGTTCTGCCCCTGGGGGCGGTGGATGTGCCGACGCTGAGGGATCTCAAATGTGTACCTGTTGGTGTCCTTTTGTTCTCCAAACAGTGTGGGCACACTGAGGGGTTCTTACGGTAGTAGAAAAGCAGGTGTGCTTAGATCGCTGTTCTGTGCGGGGGCGTGTGCGGCTGATTCGCTGCTATTTACAGTGCAATCATGCCTCGACATCGTCCATGCGCACTTCGACTGCGCAGGCTCGCAAAATCTGCCTGCCCGCGGCTCGTGCTTCAGGCGACGTGCGCATTTCGGTAGGTGGTCACTTTTCGTCACAGGTGCAAAGGAAACCTTGTGTTTTGGTGCTGCAAAGGCGGCTTTTCGTGACAGGTGCAACGGATCGGAGGTGCTTTACTTCGACATGCAGTTTTCGTGGCAGGTGCAGCACACTGGACATGGTGGTGATCGTCGAGGAGCTCAGATTTCCTGACAGGTGCAGTGAATCGTGACCATGCATGGACATGTGGCTCGTCGTTTGCAATTGGAAGAATTCGTAGCAGGCGCAGCAACCTCGAAGTACAGATTTCCTGGCAGGCGCAGCGCTTGGTGAACCTCCAAGTGCTGAGTTCGTGGCAAGCGCAGCGCTTGGTGAGCCTCGAGGTGCAGATTTCGTGGCAGGTGCAGCGCTTGCTGAACCTCGAAGTGCAGATTTCGTGGCAGGCACAGCACTTGGTGGACCTGGAAGTGCAGATTTCGTGGCAGGCACATCACTTGGTGAACCTCGAAGTGCGGATTTCGTGGCAGGTGCAGCGCTTGGTGGGCCTCGAAGTGCAGATTTCGTGGCAGGCACAGCACTTGGTGAACCTCGAAGTGCAGATTTCGTGGCAGGCGCAGCACTTGGTGAACCTCGAAGTGCAGATTGCGTGGCAGGCACAGCGCATGGTGAACCTCGAAGTGCAGATTTCGTGGCAGGGACAGCTCTTGGTGAACCTCGAAGTTCAGATTTCGTGGCAGGCGCAGTACTTTGTGCTCTCAGGTGCTCACTCTCTCACTCTCCCACTCGCTCTCACTCACACTCGCACTCACACTCACACCTCACTCTCACTCTCACACTCACTCTCACTCTCACTCGCACTCACACTCACACTCTCACTCTCACCCACACTCCCTTCACTCTCACTCACGCCGCTCACTCACACTCACTCTCACTCTCACTCACACTCGCACTCACTCACACTCACTCTCCCACTCTCACTCACACACACTCTCACTCTCACCCACACTCACTAACGCCCACCTTCACTTTCAACTCATGCTCACTCTCACTCTCACTCTCACCCACACTCACTCTCACTCACACTCGCACTCACACTCACTCTCTCACCCACACTCACTCGCACCCACCTTCACTTCATCACCACCATCACCTCTCTGGACCCCAATGCGTCTATAGATCTCTAGACTCTAGACTTTCTGCTTACAGCCCTCACACACATTGTTTGGGGTCTCTTGCCGGGCTATTTTTTTGGGGGGCTCTTTTGGATTGCACCTTTCTTTTCATTTTGAGAGAAATGTCATGCAGCTTGCTCCAGTTGGGGATTGCAATCCCGAGAGTGGTCAGCATCGTTTGCCGCTTTGGCCTGTGTTAGTAGTCCAATGGACTGTATAGCCACCGGCGTTTGAAATTTGAAGCTTTTGTGGAACTGTGACCGGGCGAAGGCAACGTGGCCTTTAAAGGTAGCAGGAGAGCGACAGCGGCGGTCGGCAAGGTCAAAAAGAGCTGTGAATGTGGGTTGAAAGCTCAGCAGGCATAGCTCAGAGACGGCAGGTTAGGATCAGCGTAACGAATTGGCACGGCGCAAAAGCCTGTACATGCTACACGTGTTGACATATTATTGCAGATAGCAACGTTTGACATACAAATATCGGGATATTGTGATAAGTATATGTACGCTTTGCAGTATATGGACGAGTCTGCTTTGTCCACGTCGTGGTTTGTTTGCTGTGCTAACCTATAGTTTTGGAGGTGCCGTAGCTGCTGCAGCTCCTACCTCTGCCTTGGGCGCTTTTGTTCTGCGCCAACCAGCAGGCGCAGGGGAGCAAGGTCAAGGTGTGTGCGGCGTCAGGCGGTGTTTTTTTGGGCACGAGATAGGTATCGTGGAACTACTTCCGGGAGATCGTGTGATTCGTCAAGAGGATTAACAAAAGTATGCAATTGTGACACTACGAACCCAGACATACATACATACCTATAATTTTCAGGTATGCATGTTTCTCAGAAACATA